GCACTATTGGGTTTTTGTTACATTTTATGAAATAGATTGGGTCCAGAATGACCTGGTACGTGAAATGCATGCTCCCAAGTCCCAGTGAAAAGCTTGTGTTTGCTGTGGGCGCATGTTTAAGCCAGACAATGCACGTGTTTCGGAAGTTACCATGAATGCAGCATAATATATCTTTATTGTAGCAAGAAATAGAGGCAACAAAGGCTCTGATAGAGAAGAGTGAGGTTTGATCACTATGAATACCATTGTACACAAAGCGTTGTCTCTTCTGACTTGGAGCAAGAGTATTTCCAGGCAATGAAAACGTGCGACCATGTAAAAATAATATCAATTTTATTAAATACTCAACAGTTTGTCCATAGGACGTGATCTTTATACATAGTCAGTGAAACACGAGAAAGTAACCATTATTCTACAGCTAGGAAACTTCATTTTACGAGCTAATATTGAACATTGCAGTGCTGACATAAATATAAATACTGACACCACGGGCACAATGAAAAATAAGATTCACACGGTAACTGTCACAGTATGTAATATGGAAGATCATCCAAAGGATCGTTTTTTAATACAGTCAAGCTAGTTTTGGAGGGGGGAATGGTATATTTACGTGGCCACGGCTCATGGGAAGAGGGATTAGAACAGTTTCTTGGGAGGTATGAATCTCTTCACATTAGAAGTGTGCAAGCTTCATCCAAAACATACACACATACAGGCAACGTCTGTCAGAGGATTATTCTCCCTTTGTTTGCAGGCAATGTTTGTTTACAAGGAAATGTGTGACTTTGGAATACTGTTTTCAAAGTTGGAGAACAACATGACACAGAGACTTAAAGCCAAATAAATTTTAAATGGTAGACGTAGGCTGGCCAAAGCTCACACTTTTTGCAGGTCGTCTATTCCCTCAATGGATTCATATAGTCCACAAGTGGCTGTATAAAAAACAGATGGGTAGATATATATTTTTTATATATTTATATATTTGTTTCCGTAATGCAGCCCATCCAAATGAATTCTGCCAGCTGAGGGGGTGGAGGAATAGTAGAAGGGAGTAGAGAGATGGTAGTGGAAGCCCCCCATTCACTCTTTGGGCTGGTCTTCTGTCTCTTCTCGCTTCTCCTCTTTACCCCCGGCCAGGCTGTCAGCATTAGCACCAGTGCCCCCAGTCAGGGTGGATGTTAGGTTACTCTCCTTTTTCCACTTCATCCTCCTGTTCTGAAACCAGATTTTGATTTGACGCTCTGTTAAGCAAAGTGCGTTGGCGATCTCAATCCTCCTGCGCCGGGTCAGATAACGGTTGAAGTGAAATTCTTTCTCCAGCTCCAAGGTTTGATAACGAGAGTAGATTTGGCGACCTCGCCTTCTGTCCGTTCCATAGCCCACCCCTAGGGATTCAGACACAAGACAAACTGAGAATAATTAGTGAGAAAACCCTTCAATCACACACATCTTAGCATAATACCTGCATGTACCTTCAGCCCCCTGTCTGTACCAGCTCACCCACCTACCCAGATAGCTCCAGCTTACACAGCCTGACTTCTACCTACAAATATATCAACCAGACTGATATCCATAGTCATCAATAAGTTATATTAATCAACACTAAAAAATAACCCAAAAACGTTACTTTTGGTTTTTTTTATTTTTTATTCTGCATATTATAATGTACACTAATTAATATGCATATCGCAACGAGCTAACACAACAGCAGTTTTAATTTAACATAAAAATAGCCATCTATCAGGTAAATTAAAAAAAAAGGGGGAAAAAGGGTATTTTTATTTAACTTTTACCCCCCAAAAGAAAACAAACCTCGTTGAAACTTTATTACATATATTTGAAACTCTCAACGTCTTTTAATTAGAAAGCACATAACAAGCCATATTTGCTTGCAACAACTTAACAAATAAAAGGCCTATAACAGCAACTGTGAAAGGAACTACTTTATTGCTTTTATGAGGCCATAAAAAAAAGAACTGAGCCTGTTCTGCTAGGGAGATGATCGTAAAGATCGTTCAGTTTATTTAATTTATATCTTCAAGCTGTAAAACTTACCACTGTGAGAATTCATGCGCTGCATCCAAGGATAGATCTGTATGCTAGTTTTCTGTTCCTGGACATTGGTTCTGTTTTGGTCACTGTTAAAATCCTGTGCAATTGAAGTCTGTGTATTGTGTCCCATAGAATTCTGCCTGCAGCTAGTAAGCATGTCCTTTTCCTGGTAAAATGCATTAGATCCATACTCATAGGGGCCCCGGCTGGAGCTGAAAACAACATTATCTTGCGGTGTGTAAAATGGTGAAGAGTAGATCCTATTTTGAGCAACCGCTGCTCCATAAGTGGAAAAATGCCTAACAGGGTCATAGGCAGTTGAATTAAGGGCCACATTTGGTATAACTTCTTGGCCACTAGCTAAATGGCAGGATAAAGAGGGGTTCGTGAAATAGGAATTCATATCTTCTCCTTTACCTGCCTGTAAGATTTCTTTAATATTTATTTCTGTCTCCAGTTTGTAGTCTGAACTAGATTGTTATAGGGACGGCTCCACTCCAGGACAGACAAAATGACAAAGTCAGCTGACCTGCCTGGAGCCAATAGGAGGCGAGATGTCAAGAGAGGAAAAAATTGGTTTTGCTTGTGTTGATTCCCTAGCTGAAAGTATACATTCAAAGTAAGTCTTAGAATTAGAAATATAAAATTAGTTTGGGAGGAGGTAAAAATCCTTCAAGTATGTTTGGGACCAGGAGTAAGTCTCAAGAGAACGCGGCAGTTTAAATCCGATTTACATTTTATCCCCATAGAATTTCACGTTGTTCTTAATAGAATCTAATGTATGCAAAAGCATTTGGAACTTAGCAGACATAGAACCCTAACACCCACAGAGGCGTGCAGAGCGAGAGGCTGCATCAAATATGTGTGAATATGCATGTGCATGTACACAAAATGTATATATATATATATATATATGTATATATATATATATCAACTCTACATAAATAATACGTATGTGCTCACATGTATATGTACACCCATTATAACACTGAACTATTTATTGCTTGATGTTTACAAACATAAAATAATCAAATATTTTATTCTCTGGAAGGTTTATGGGGGCGGGGAGCTATTTGTGTTACCTTTTCCACACAGAGAAGTGTTTCAGATGTTCTTTTCGCACCTTGGGGTGCATCAATTATTAAAATAACCTTAGTAGTACTTACCTGGGCTTTTGTACTCTTTGGGGTTTTGCCCACAGCATTTTTTGGGAGTCAATTGTATCCACACGCTTATTAATTATTGTTTCAATATTATTAATGTGGCAGTGCGGTGAGTAGCATCATTGTATTGCTCATACCATTTTAGTCTACACACTTTTATGTTTAGCCCCTGTTGTCTTTGCTTGACTGCTTTACAATTAGAAAGCTTTAAACCGTGATATTCAAGTGTGGCTTTTGTAGAATGAGAAGGTCTGATGAGATCACAGGAAATAAAAAAGCTACAGTTCTCTATGAAGGGGTCTGAACATAATAGGCTGTAATGTGTTTATTGCTACCCATGTATAAGTCATCTTGTGTATGGGGCCATCTATGAGTGTCCCAGCTTAAAAATACTAATAATAATAGTAATTACAATAAAAATGGCAGGATTGGCAGTTAAATAATAACAATGAGATCCCTGAATTCCTTGGACAATGACATTCTGAGTGCAGTTGCTAGAACACTCTCTTGTGTAACAAGCTATTCCTAATGGCTACTATTTGTGAAAGTTACAAACAGCAATATTTTTTCAGGACTGAAGAGAAACCCGGATGCTGAAGGATTTTACGATCTTTTTCCTGTGACCAACAAAGCGAAATGGTGGCTGTAAAGCCATAAAGATGAGAACAGAGGAAAAGGGGTCGTTTATTGCCCTAGTATAACACCAACAGTCCCCTGAGTGCAGACAACAGCTAAAAAATAAAGTTTAAGCAAAATAAAACGACCATTTGAGGCAGAGATTATACAAGCAGTGCGTGGGACACCCTCCTGCAAGAAAGGTTTGTGGAACAACATTTCTGTGGTTATAGCAGGGGGGTTATTCAGTACATTCCCATCTAGAAAGGGGGGGGGGGGGGTCTTATAAAATGTATTTCCTTATTGTTTGCTCTGTGTTAGAACTTTGGTAACCCAGTATTAAAATTTGCCAGCAGCTGGCACCATTTTTTCACATAAAGCAGATGTTTTATAGCAAGGAAGTACATGGTTATTTCACTGCATTCCTTTCGCCTGAGTGTGTGATATATATATATATATATACTACTACTACTACTACTACTATTTTATTACGAATGTGTATAACATTGTATATATATACACACATATATGGATACATGCATACATCGTGTGCATGGTATAACATATCGATCTTGTTTTTGCTGCTATATTATAATAGTATGGTTTGCAGCTGGATATTCCTCCCAAGCTTGTAGTGCTAAGCTATAAACCATTTGATTGCTTTTAGAGTCCTATTTCATTGCCCACTTATCAGTTTATCTCGTATTTATTGTACAGTATGATTGGGATTTGCAGTAAAACCAGTGGGCCCCCAGTCGCTCAATCTGCTTTTGCTCTTGTTATGATATTTAATAACTTCTCTCTCTCTCTCTCTCTCTCTCTCCCTTTCCCCTGCTCTGTTCTTAAGGATTTTTGTTCCCTTCATGATAAACTTACAAAAAAGTGCAAGTATTGTTTTAGGAGAAAGTACTTTGGTATTTAAAGGATTTAACCGAGCCAGTTCTAGGCAATAATAGTGCCTCTCTTAGAAGAGAAAGTTAAGTGTTTTATTACATCTATAAGCAAAGGGCAAGCCTTAAAGCACTCGTCGATTTATGGGGAGTAGAAAACTGGCTACCACATGCAACTTGAAGCAACAAAAGGAAACCATGGTTTAGGCAATTTCATCATAGCAAATTGGAGGAAAAAAACTTGAAACCATCAACAAAGTAGCTGTTTGAATCTATTTTTCAAACAGTAGCTTGGCCACAGTGGTGTGCCACGAATATTTTGAAAATGGTTTCCCCTATAAAAGTACATACAATTTTCCATTCCAGTTCTGCATGCAGTTGTAATTGCCTTCAAGGTATACTCTCTAAAAATCGAATCCCAGCACAATTATGTAAACTCAGCAGAATATAAAAGAGCAGATGTTTATGAATCCACCCTAGTCTACTGGAGCCATGGCTGCGTGTAGTTCTTTCTTTATTTTCCCATAAGACTAGTAAGTCTTCTTAACCAAACACTGTCTACAAAACAACACGATTTCTGGAATCACAGGTACGTAGATCGATTGATATCTATCTATCTTTACATTTTAATCCAATGCACTTGCTTTTCATCTTCATAATAACATTGATGTCTCTGTTTTCAGTTATGTAATTTACGGATTGATTATCTGATGGAAAATAACCTGTGAAATAATTGCCTCAACACACGTGTTTTCTATATCCTCCCCAATTAAAAGAAGGAAACAGAGTTTCTGAAGCCAAAGTACCCTGTGTCAAAGTAAATTTCAGCACTTTAACTGGATCCAAAGAGTCTTTCTATGGCTGAGTTAACGACTGAATGTGATTATTTACATCCCACATGCAGCATAAACATATATGACATTTACTCGATGTTCAGGATCCTGCTCTCGCAATAAACATATACTATGGTGTAATGGTGGAAGATGTGGAGCTATATTTAAACCGGTATTCATAATAACGCCATTTCTGTTTTGCATTTTGCGTTCTAATATTAGATTGTAAATCCGTGGACTTGCAGTTCAGACTAGCATGAAAAGTTAGAAAGCACTCGTGTGTAATTAATAGTGAGTTGTATTGTTGAACATCACACAGCCGAGAAAAAAACACTAAGCACCTTTCTCTTCACCTTTTTAATTTATATTTGTAATTTACAGCCCATCTGGCTGCATGCGTTTTATTTATTTATGACCTTGCATTGAGCTTAGCCCAGTACCTTCATTAAAGCTGCAGCACATTGACCGAGTGCAATACCTGCCATCGTCTTATTAAAGCGATTATATGTAGAAGAGGGTATTTGGGGCTGTGTGACTTGATGTTATTTTTTTTGTCAGGGGTATAGGGTGACCCGTATTATGGTTCCTGGGAGTTAGAGATGGTATTCTGCATGTTTGATCGATCTATATACAACAGTCTGTTTTTTAATGTAATTTTCTTAAGTGTCCCTGGGCTACACTGGAATGTAATACTACTCTAATCCCGAAAGTAATCTGGGAAACACATACTATGAAAAAGCAATACGCTATCGTCAAATTAAACTGGCAAGAGAAGAGTTAAACCATAAATTAGACTGATTTCAATACGTATGAGTATGTTTAACGCTAGGCATAATCAAGCACAGGGGCCAGGCAAACACATGTGCAAAAAAAAAAAAGACTAGAAGGTGTAACCATTCACTTTCTAAATAAAATCTAATGTTTACTGATACTGTACATGAGGAGTAGACTTATCTCTGGACCTTGGCCAAAGCTTTACCAGCATAGAACTTTCATCTCCTTGAAAAACTTTCAACATGGACGAGTAAACAACTATTAGCTTCTGTATGCAGCCAAACAACACTACTGGTTGTGATAAAAAGAAATACACATTTAAGTTTTACATTTATATTATATTTTCTGCTGTTTGTTTACTACTGCAAGTATTTTGCCATCTGAATTCTAGAAACGTGTACATGTAACTTGATCTGCAGGAAGTATTATTATCTATATAACATGCAATTTAACCAACCTGTATGTTCGTTGGAAAACTAGATCACCTGTGTGATTAATTTAAAAAAATAGATATATATGTATATGATATGTACAGTGTAATAATGCCGAAATGTTTATTTTCTGTACAGGACGTTATTGCGTCATCTGGAGATGGAAGTTGAGCTGAAAATGTGTGAACTCTTGATTTTCTATCTCTCACAACTAAAGAAACTAACTTTCTACGAATATAGAACTATAGAACATCGTTTCATGTTAAAATGTTGTCAAAAGTAATAACAGCAAGTGCTGTGTAATTTCTAAACTTTTATTAGACTCAGGTTGACGTCTTGATGTAATAACGTCTAGTGGGTCGCAACTACAACAAATTAAAAGTCCAGAATGTACTGGTACCTGCATAGCGTGCTGCTAATGAATTCATACATAACATTATTTCATGAAGAACAAACAAACAATTAATAAACTGCTGTTATGATTCTTCAACATAACCTTACTTTAAAAAAATGCTCAACTGTTAACATTAAAGTGGCTTTATATCGCTGTTACAGGTTTGAGAGCTGTCTGCTATCAGATTACAAGAGAGATTTATTTAATATAACACTGTTGTGTTGGTCTGTGGTGTGACGCTTTAGAATGGACGAACCACAGGATAAATGCTACATTACGATCTGTAGATCATTTTTATGTCTCCTGCAATGATTTCCCACTCATATGTGATCTGACAATATTATGTTCTGTCTAAATAAAGTCTGCACTTTCAGTGCAGGTAGTACAGTTTTATGTATCTTCCTTTATTCCATGTCCAGGGCACAAATGCAGATAAAGCATATAATTAAACATTTTGTTGGTCTTCCTTCTTTTTTTGGTGCTTCTAGAGAATAATATAGGGGCAAAATACCACTATGCACCTAAAACTTATAAAACTTAACACTTTACACACAACTTATT